ACCTTGCATTTCCCCCAATTCGCAACCAAGGACCAACACTATTTTACTTACTCACAGACCCTCTCCCTTAACCCCCCGCGCCTTTCTCTAATTTACCCGCGCGCACCCTGGCGGCTCAGTGTGTGGCGGCGCGGCAAGCGGTGGCCTAGCACGGCTGCGCCGGCCACCTAGGACCGCCACTGGCCCGACGGTCTGACCGGCCTCCATCCCCAGTTCAACCAGCTACACCTAGCGGCAACGCGGGGCGGCAGGACGCGCTGGAGCCGGCCACGGCGATACGCAGCCATTCGCGAAGGTGGCGCGACCGCCCCGGCGAACTCAAGCATCAACGAACCCATCTAGCTAGCGAGTGAGCATTAATAGGCTACCGTGAGCCTAGCTACGGTGTCCGTTGGCGAAGAGAGTGGCGGAGAGGAGCTGGCCACGTGTAGCCGAGCCGTGTGGCGGCGCACCGCGGCGGCACGGTCACGTCAGCGGTGGGGTGGAGCCAGTAGCGACTAAGCCGAGGCACGCATGATGAAGAGGAAGGCAAGGCACACCTACTGGCGTGGGCAATTGGGTTTAGGTGGAGGGATGGGAGGTCTGCCCTCGGTCATGGCCACGATGCGGCCTTAACAGCGCACCGGCGGGAAGATGCCAAATTAGCACCTGGCCAGGCCCTCATCAAGACGGTGAGGGGTCGGGCGACGAGGAGACGTGAGGGCGGAGGTGCGGACGAGCCAAATTGAATAGAGGTGACCTATCTCTGGCGCACTCGTGGGCGCAAGGCGACGGCGGTGGCAGAGAGATGGGAGGCATAGCGAGGACGGTGGAATGCGGCTAGAGCTCTGCTGTGACACGCCTTGGCAGGACGCGGTTGACATAACCACAGCGACCCAGTCTAGCCACTGGCGAACGAGCACGCGCGATGTTCATGTCGGCCTAGCCCACACGCCATAGCGCCATCAATGACGTGACGACGGCGGGTCCAACCACGTGCACGGAATCAAACCGGGCCATGGCGCAGAGCATTGTGGCGCAGACACAAGCGCCGGGGGGCAACGGCAGTGGTAGTAGGCGTGTCACGATGCATGGCGGACTTGGCAGCATGGCAGCGCGGCACAACCGCGCGGCAGCAGCGGCGGCCTCACACGACAGTGCCCATGACTATTCCCACAGCACACGGCCAGCCCAGCGCGGCAACACGCGGGCGCGCGCGAGGCGCACCGACGCGGCGACGTCGACCACTGACGCGCGGTGACCTCGTCCACGCGGGGGAAGCAAACCGGAAACATGTTGTGCATGGATTTTAATGCTTCTACCACGACCAAACCGTTACTCCTAAACATAAACGGTCTTCACTACACTCAAGATGGTATATGAGGCTACTTAATCAAGCTATAACACTACATCGCTCTTTAACCCAATTCCTCAAAATAGTTTGCTAAACATAGCAATGTCTATCTGTCAACAGACTTGGAATGTTTTCTAAGTTTTGAGTTGAACTCTATTTCAAATTGAATTTATAAGCTATTGGAAATATTAGCTAACAAGGTTATTTTTCAACAGCAAGTATTTTATCATCTTCTACAATGTTCACACTCCAAACTTTATTTAAGCCCCATATATAAGTTCTATAGTAATTTTACTCAATAAAAATTACTTTACAACCATACTTGATAATTGTACGAATCGTGGAGTAACTTTTCGTTTTGCATTCTTATTGATCGTTTTAGTTGAAATGCTTCACCTATTCGTTTTATCACATGCATTACCCCATAAGTATGATGCTTATGACGTGTTTTAGTAAATGATTTATGATGTAACACCGAGGGTGTTACAAACATATCCTTAGCATTGGCTGGATTGGCTTCAAGTTTTTTTTAATGAAAAACTGCTTGGTATGATCCACAACCACAAACCCACATCTAAAAAATGGAGATCGCAAGAAAACTCAGTGATACCTTCATCGTCTAGGCCTCTGAACTCTAAAGAAGCCACGGATAATAAACACAACAACCTGATACTCTCCCATTCGGCTACTAGTGCCACCTTGCGTTCTGTTACTAACCTTTGGAATTTGAGAAGATAATCACTCCATTAGTGGAGATAGCTATATATAGAGAGCCACATGGGCCATATGGGCCTATATTAGATGGGCCTTCATATACTTAACACCCCCCTTCTAACTCAAGGTGGAAGTGGAGGATCTGAAGCATTGAGTTTGATCAAGTGAAGCCAATGCTGCTCTCGAGTTTGTGCTTTAGTGAAGAAATCATCCAATTGCAGCTCAAAAGGCACATATCGAAGAGCAATGGTTTGCTGATGACAATGAGACCGAGTAAAGAAAGCATCAACACCAATATGTTTAGTAAGTTCATGCTTCATAGGATCATTAGCAATTTGTATAGCTCATGTATTGTCACAAAGAAGAGGTGTGGCGACACCACAAGAAATCCCAAAATAAGCCAACAACCATCGAAGCCATACAATCTCTGAAGTAGTAGTGGTAAGTGCTCGAAGTTCTGCCTCTGTACTAGAGCGAGATATAGCTGCCTGCTTCTTAGACTTCCATGCAATAGGAGAGGAGCCAAGAAGAATACAATATCCGGTGATGGAAGGATGATCCGTTGGGTCACTCGCCCAAGTGGAGTCCGAGTAAGCATAGAGCTAAAGCGGACTATTACGGGCATAGAATAAACATCGAGATGTTGTCCCCCTTAAGTACCGTAGCACACGAAGTAAATGTCCAAAATGAACAGACGTAGGAGCACTCACAAACTGGCTCAAAATATGGACTGCATGAGCGATATCTAGTCTGGTAACAATGAGATAAACAAGACTACCCACAAGGTGTCTATATCTAGAGGGATCCGGAAGAGGTATACCATCAGTGGGATGAAGTTGCAAGTGAAGATCCATGGGTGTGGCAGTCGTCCAATTGTTAGTGATACCGGAACGAGCAATAAGATCTTGTATGTACTTGGTCTGAGAAATATAGTATCCATTGGCACACTGCTTAACCTTAATGCCTAGAAATAGCTGAGAGGACCTAAATCAAACATTTGAAAGTGTTCACCAAGCTGCTGTTTCACAAGAGAAATATGCTCCACATCATCACCCGTAATCAATATATCATCAACATATAAAAAGAAGCAAAGTACGACCACGTGATGAGAGATGAATAAATAGAGCAGGGTCGTGATCACTAGGTTTGAAACCAGCAACCTTTATCACAGATACAAAACGTTCAAACCAAGCATGAGGGGCCTGTTTAAGACCATATAAAGCACGGCGAAGCCGACAAACATAACCTGAAGGAGCATCAACACCTAGAGGTGGGTGCATATAGACTTCTTCATTCAAATCACCATGAAAGAAAGCATTCTTAACATCCATCTGAGATATGGCCCAAGATGAAGCAGCCACTACAAGTAAAGTACGAACTATGGTCATGTGAGCAACAAGGGCAAATGTCTAATCATAATCCAGTCCCGGAGTCTGCTGAAACCCCCATACAACAAGACGGGCTTGATATCTCTCAATAGAAGCATCTGACTTGGTTGATGATGTAGTGTTAATGGATAAGGTTACCAAGAACATATAAGGGAATATCCCTTGGTATATGTTGTTCACAATGATGTAGTGTTAGTGGACAAAAGCCAGGTGGGAGTAAATAGGAAACTAGAGTTATGGCGGCAGACCCTTGAGTCTAAAGGTTTTAGATTGAACAGAACTAAAACCGAATACATGAGATGCGACTTTGGCGGAATTGTACAGGAGGAGTGAGATGTGAGTTTGTAAGGTCAAGTAGTGGCTAAGAAGGATACCTTTCGGTATCTGGGATCGATGCTATAGAGGGATGGAGATATTGATGCGGACGTTAGCCATAGAATCAAAGCAGGGTAGATCAAGTGGCGACAAGCTTCTGGCATTCTATGTGACAAGAGGATACCACAAAAGCTAAAAGGCAAGTTCTATAAAACGACGATTAGATCGGCTATGTTGTATGGAGCAGAATGTTGACCTACAAAGATTCGACATGTTCAACAACTGAGTGTTGCAGAAATGCGTATATTGCGATGAATTTGCGGTCACACAAGAATGGACCGAATTCAGAACGATGATATACGTGATCGCCTAGAGGTAGCACCAATTGAAGAAAAGCTTGTTCAACATCGGTTGAAATGGTTTAACCATGTCCAAAAGAGACCTCCAGAGACACCAGTGCATCGTGGAGTCCTAAGCCAAGCTAATAATATGAGAAAAGGTAGAGAAAGACCGAAATTGATATGGGAAAAGACAATAAAAAGATATTTAAAAGTTTAGAATATACCTAGAGACCTATGTTTAAATAGGAATACTTAGAAAGTAGCTATTAAAGTGCCTAAACTATGACTTAAGGCTCTTGGTGGGTTTCAACTCTAGCCTACCTCAACTTGCTTGGGATTGAAAGGCGTTGTTAGGACTGAAAGGCGTTGTTGTTCAGCATTTAACAAATAGCCAGAGTGTCAAGTCTACGCGAGATTGAACCATCTCATCCTTTTCTTTTGAAAGGCAAACCATTTCATCTTGCAAAGGCAACAATTAGAGCACAAAAAAGAAGGGGTTGAAGATGAAGCAGATATGTTTAGCAATTCTCTTCCATGCGCTGATATACAATGTACAGAGCTGCTTTTGACACCGGAGGATTTCCTGTTATCAGAACAAAATAGCTTGGAGAATGACCAGCTCAGGAGAAGTTCTCTAAGACTCAAACCTCTGGGTACAACAAGTTCGACGAAGACAATCAGATGACTACCTAAAAGACGTATGATCATGTGAAAGCTCCGTCGAAGGAAAGAAAGTGGCAACCTTTCGTTGGGCCATTGGCTATCAAAAACCATACATCCGGGAACTCTTGAGATACTTTAAAGATTGGACCTAACCCCGTCGTGGTGACTGAAATTAGTGTACATGAAGCTTGACTACTAGGCTTTTGCAACCTACTGGTATCTACATCTGTTTCTGTCAAAACTACACTACAAATCAACATCTGGCAACGGCACCTTCCAGTAATTCCAGTTATTGTAGTCTTCCTGCTCAACATTACAGATACTCAGCACAAGAAAATTATACGAGCCACAATGATTGGGGACTGATTGCAGTATTCATGTGCTATGGAGTTGTTATCTAATGATTAGCAAATTTAAAAAGATATATGTAGCTAGTAACCTATCATGTTCATGTGATATTTGGAGGAGACAAAATGTAGCTAAAAAGGAAATTGATGGAAAGTTGGAAACCATTAATTCTTCCAGATCCAACCTATGTGATTGTTCTATTAGGTGTTCAACGATTTAGGTATGTTCTTAGTCTATGCCTCAGGCGGAAACAAAATACTACTCTACTTAGCAGACATGAATTACAACTGACCTGCTCAACCAGAGTTGTTGGTGGAAACATGTCATGGACAAGAGTATGTAAGGAGGTATAAGACTTGACATCAACAGAACTGTTCACAGCCACTTCACCCTGCGACCCCATGGGACGTGATTTAAGAGGCTTATATAAACAGTTAAACACAATACTGCTGTTTACGGCGTAGTATAATAAACAGTTAAACACAATACCTTTGGGTTGATGATAAAAATCTTGCCTTTAGGTATTCCCATCTTCTTGTAACTGAGCTCGTCAGTGTCTCTGTTGCCAAACCCAGCATAAAATGGATTGTAATCAGAAGGAAAGAGCGCCTTAATGTCCTGCCAAACATCAAAACTTCCATGAATTTAACACACCGATCATAGTACTGCTGCAGACTATTAGATCTAAGGGCTAACTTGCATGCAATCACGCCAGAGCATCAAACTAAAAATTGGAATTGCCTAAAAGAAAATTACCTCCAGACATGCAATCTTGAATTCATGTGGGGCTCTCCGTATAACTGAGAAAAGCAGAGGAATATTAGGTCATGCTTAAAATCAGTAACAACAGCATTATTTTAAGCCATTAACAGCTGATTTTCTTTGAAGCCAGAGGCCGCATTACTGATCATGCTAGGAAAAGACCAGTCAATTGTTATGGCAAATCAAATTCGCCCAAGTCATAGTGAGCAAATGTGTCAGGATACAACTGCCAACAAAATGTTACCTTCTCGGTAGAGTGAAGGAAACAAGCCATCAGGTGAAATTACAACAGGTCCATTGGGTAGTGCTTTCCCATCCTGCAAAATTGGGGGGAAACATCACTTGTAAACTGGATAAAGTTAGCCTGCAGGCATATTGAAAATACCATGTAAAATTAAAGCAAGGCCACTGTGCCACACCCACACAAGTGCCTAAATCAGTAAAGATTAGAAAACCATGTGCTAGAAGACAACATCAAGTGACAATTGTCATTTTACCTGTTTAAGATTGAAGAGGAAGTTCTTTGTGAGATATGCCTGAACAATTGCTCTAGCACTAAGGAATAGTAGTTGATAACCGTTTTCCTGGTTGAGAAATAAAAGTACCCTAGACATAAGCACAACCCCACAAAGGCGATAAAAAACAGAAAAATGGAAGTCTTTAAGAAAGTCGTCAAACCTTTATTGCAGAAAAAAGTCGAGCAACACCAGAGTGACTCCAATCTCGTCCAACCAAAGGCATGACCTGACCCAACACATCAGACCTGAAAAATGTAACATTAAGCAACCACATTCAACACTTTTGGCCATCTACAGCAGAAAAGCATGTGCATCAACAACCCATTGCAGAGGAAGACGTGGTAAACAAAGTTTCTACAACAAGATGTTGGATTTAGTCAGTTGTGCTATAGTCCCAGGCCACCTTGATTCGCTGGGTGATAGTTTCAGTGTTCCAGATATAAAGCGATTGTTGGAAATTCATCAACCAACAAACTACAGGCCATGGGACAGTCCCAACTTAATGAGAGAATAAAAAGACTAAAATTGCTAGTAATCAAACAAGGCATGGCGGCATACATTACATCCACCAGATGAAGGTAAATTCAACCATTTAACTTCCTGATATTGTCACCCAAAACATCAATCTGAAGCAGTCTGTACTTAACCAGAAAGCCCATTACACCAACTGATGTTTGTAAGCTACTCAAGCAAAGGGCAGTAGAAGCATACAGGAGTGGATAAACTATGAACATTACCTTGTTATGGTGCCATCCACATCAGATATCACAATTTTAGCGTTCCATTTCCACAAGTAAATATGTGCATCAACCTAATAAAAGATTAAAATTTATTACACAATCCTCAAATAGAAGTATGAAATAGGTAGGAAATAGAGGTATAAACCTGTTGCTTCCCAAGAACCCTGGTTGAGAAGCTAAAGGTCACCAAATTTTGGCCCTCCTTCAGATTTAAAGATGCTACCTGTTCACTTGTGAGAATCAAAGTCCGTACAAATTGCTTTCTAGGTGACTGGTTTTTGTTGTTCTCCAGAGTTTGCTCATCTATTGGACTCAAAACAGACTCTGAGTCAAGGAAAATGTCTTCGGAAGAATCACTGTTACTACGTTGAAGGGATCTTGTTATCCGAAAGGGATTGAGCCAAAGCCTCCATCTCCGGCTTGAGGGAGATATTCTAAGAGAGTCTTCTCTTGAATTGGGTGTTTCCTGATGTTCAACCGGAATAGCATCAGTGGGTTCTATGGAGAACTTTGAACCAAATACAGCCTTCCCAAGAATAACATGAGAAACTTTACTCCAGGGGAAATAATTATTGTCAACTTTGACAATAAGGTTTGCATTTTTTATCAGTGTTGACCCAGATGATTTGAAATCCTCCTCATTGACAAGATGCTGTTGAAATGCTTCCTCAGCAGATTCTCGACCCATTCCTGGTCGTAACATGTTCCCACAAAGAGAAATCTCAACCCCTGCAAGCGCACATCAAAGCAGAACAATGAGAAGTTACCTTTAGCTTTAGGAAGGAATAATATGAAACCAGACATGTGCTTACCCAAGCCCTTCTGTGATTGAGAATGCTCTTCTTTATTCTGTTCGTCTTCAACTTCAGAGTGCTCCGGAATGCTCCCCAGTTTGTCTTTACCACTGGTAGCCATGGATGACTGTAAACCATCAGATCCAGCGGCCTCAATTTCAAAGGCAATTTCCTTGTCCCTATCATGAGAACCTCCTTCAGGAGAAGAACTCTCTTTGTTTTGAGTCTTATCAACTTCTGAGGTAAATGTTGAAACATCCACTCCATCCTGTAAGGGGCCATACTGACCACAGTAAGCAGTTTTAGTTTCACCTTCCTCCAGATCTGTTTCAGCAACAGAACAGTTACCCAAACTAAGCTCAGAATCCCTCTGATAATCAGATCCAGGAGAAAATAGTTCGTTTCCTGAATCCCCGTCATCTATTTGTGATGTCAGATCCAAGCAGCTCTGGAAAGTGTCATTTTTACCAAAACTAGCACCAGTATCCTCCAACTCAGTATCCTCATTATTGAGATCACAAACCTCATCCTTGTTAGTTGGGGAGTTGTAATCCTTGGCTTTTTCAAGTACTGGCACATCACAAGATTCATCTTCATTGGTCAAGGGTGGTTGATCCTCATCATTGTTCTCTAGTATATCATGAGCTTTATGTTCATTGGTCAAGGGTTGATAACCCACAACATTGTCCCCTGAAACACCAGGAGAGTCATCCTCCCTGGTCAAGGTTTGATAGCCCACATCTCTGTCCCCTAAAATACTACGAGACTCACCTTCACTGGTCATGGTTTGATAAACCACATCACTGTTCCCTGACCTTGACACATCCTGAGCCTCATCTTCATTTGTAGACACAGCATGAACTTCATCATCATTTGCAGAAACAGCATGAGCTTCATCATCATTTGTAGACACAGCATTAGCTTCATCTTCATTGACTGACACATGTGCTTCATCTTTATCAACTGAGATGTGATGTGACTCATCCTTCTCAACTGGTACCTCTCTGTTCTCTACTAAAACCTCTGACTGATGTCCAGAATTAAACTTTACCTTTTCTTGTGATATGTACAAATCATCTAAAATGCCAGCATCCCAGACCTCACCACTGCGGGTGAAGTCCCCACTAGAGCTCTGCCCAGGTCCCAAATGGAACTGAGGATCACTTAACTGCACATCCTCCATACCCTCCTCTGTTGAAGAAATAGGCGCAGTGAGCACATGTCCGTCCACACTAACTAGAACCACCTCTGAATTTCCCCCGTCAGCTTGGGTTGGCAAATCTTCTGATTCCTCTAACCTACCATAGCCATCATATGACTCAAACTCATCTCTAGTTTGTTTCTCTTGATGCTCCACATTTAGCTCTTGGCTACCCAGTCTGTCACTAGGACCAATGTAAAGGTCCCCATCACTCTTACTACGCGCTGGAGGTTCAGGCTCATTGACAGCTTCTTCTTCTGAACTTGTTCCAGAATCTTGACCACCAGGCACAAGCTCACGCATGAAATAGGCTTGGCCGGAGTTGTCAAGCTGCATGTGAAAGTTGGCTTCTACGCCATTAACTGTGATGGTGACAACCTTCTCAGCACCCTTGAGCACGCCCTGGAACTTCCCAAACCGGACGTACCATGGTGTGCTGCGGTATGAACCATCAGGCTGCTCAACTGCGATGATGTCAACCGCACCACCAAACGGGTGGAAGGGCGTTGCAACGGAGTACACTCCCTGCGAGATCACGGACCCAACCCTTCCCACCACGTTCATATCTGCAGTAGCACTCCTCGATCACCAAGTATGAAACACTCGTCAATCCAGACCTTGGATGCTAGATTCGAGCAATTTCCTCATCGATTCTGTAATTGATGGATACGAACGAAGGAATTTCAGTGGGAAAAAAATCAGAAGCTCTACAAACAAAAGGGATTTTCAAACCCTAGTTGCTCGATGCGTGAAATTGCTTTCTCAGCGACTTCCCAGCATTTAGGCAATAAAATCTATAAAAATACAGCTCGTAGGCAAGTTCCAGAATATATTCGAACCAAGTTTCGTATGAAATTTGAAGACTGGTGAACATTCCCAGACCCTAACTGATAGATTAGCTAAATTATTCTGTCGATTGGGGTAACACCGCGCAAGGGAGCGGCAGCGGCTACTCCCAAGCGGAGCAAATTCTACAAAGGTCCTAATTTAAAGAATAATACAGCAGACTAATTTGGGAGGGAACATCAGTGGAATCTCGCCACAAATATTAAAAGGAACCCGAATCCTCACCGGAGAAATGGGGATTGTCGACGAATCGAATTGGATCCCAACGACGGAGAGGTAGCTGGGACTCACAGCCAAACCGTGCGATTGGGCTCGGCCCAATCCCGCCGGCTTCTTTTGGGCTCGGCTGTCCGAGACCCTTCTGGAACTCCAGAGGCGCCGCCTGCCCCGCCGCGCCGCCGCCTCCGTCGTCAATGGCGAGGTCGGAATTGGATTTGGGGGGATAGCCGGCCGTTGGGGAGGGATTTATATAGGTGATCCCTTCCATTCGCACGCGCAGCGGCGCAGGCGAGCCTTGACGAGCAGCAGCGCACATGGGACATTCCCCGCGCCTCGCGAACCGGCTGGACGGTTGGCACGCTTACATGTGGGGCACATGTTCGCCCGGGCCCACGTGCCATCGGCTATTTTGAATGCGGGTGGTTGATAGCTCGGGGGGCGGAAATAAAATGCCGCCGCTACATGCAGGTGGCGTTCTGGCGTCTCCTCACAGCCTGCGTGCGTGGCGAATTTTCTTTTCTTTTTCACGGGCTAAAGGAGCGCTGAAAAGACCGTGGAAATTCCGATCATGTGACGCTGCCGCGGTGGGCCCCGTAAGATTTACGCGACGTGGACCCCACTGACGCGTCGCACGCTCGTGACGTTGGTAGTTAAGGACATGAAAACATGATGTCCCCTGCTTTAATTAACTGTTACTAGTACTACAATGGTGGATACAGTGAAGCCTGCGTGCCCACTGCCATTGCTGCTGTCGAGCGAGCCGCATCTATACCTACTCCAATTTATTGTTTGGCCGAAATGACAACGTCACCCTCCAATAGTCCAATTTGATACGGTAGTTTAGGTCATGCTTGATCCATTAACTGCTAATAGTTGGCAACTAATATTTGTCCTGTTTGCTTGGCTGATAAGCCATGGCTGAAAGTATAGTTGGCTGATTTGTTGTGAGAGAAAAATATTGTTTGTTGGCTGAAAAAGTACGGCTTATAAGCCAAGTGAACATGACGATTAGCTACTTGTTCAACTAGGATTTGATTGGTTACTCGCATTAGTATTGCATTGCATTAGAGATTATGCATCATACCCTTAACCTAGACAAGGCAATGCATTTGGTGTTGTTTGGTTTGCCTGGACAGAAGTCATACAGTGTTATGTGTGTGATTGGTTTCTTGCATAAATGGCTAGACTGTGTCTTTGGCTGCAGAGCGGGTGCAGGAGGAAGGGTGCATAGCTGGATATGTAGGATTTGGTTGAATAGTGGGATGTAGGCTGGGCTTGCTTTGAATTGAGGATAGTGCTACCATGTCTATGAGGAGTCTGTGCAGGTAACCAAACAAGGATGAACTGCATTGTGGGAGCTTGGATAAAGGGTTATGCAGACAACCAAATAGACCCCTAGTGAATAGTTGTTAGTTTGGTATTCAACTGACAATTAACTAAACTATTAGCTAGTTCTGTTTGGTTCCAAAGAGCTAATTATTAGCAGCTAATTATTATGTCTTTGGATCAAGCAACTCTAGGTAGACCGGTTTGAATTTAAAAACTAATTATTAGCATATAACAATTATCTTTTTAAGGCTAATTATCTTCTTGGATTCAAATAGCATCATAGCTTTCGCCTAGTGTGCCTGCAGTGTACAAAGATGAATTAATTTGATGCCGTTTTTCTTGAAATTGGTTATTCGAACAATGTAGCTTAGCTTAGATGTACACACAAACACAAGGGCAGTCTCGGTAGACGATGGAGCACTGGTCCCCCAGAGGCGAGAGGCCAGAGGCCACAGAGGGTTAGAGGCCCTGGTCAAGTCTATAAGTCGTCCCCGTGCATGCGGCGTGTGCGATGACGAGGACGAGGACGAGGCGGCTAAACGGCGTGCAGACATCTCTCCTGCACCCTGCACGGTTCGGTTTATCCCGTTGTCAAGAAAGGGCATGTCCGGTATCGCCCGTGCGAATATGCCTGACCTCCTGACATCCACCTAGAAAGAAAAAAAAAAAGGTGAGAGGCGGTTGCTTTCCGGCTTGGGTATTTCGCAAGTACGTGCGCCGGTCATTTCCGTCCCGTTTCCGGCATGTTCGACTACGCGGCAGTCGCACCCGTCACAAAGCGTGGCGTGGTGCCTTGAAGCAACCGTGTGCTTACCCGCGCGACCACGGTTCCTCGAGAAGGCAGAAGCTATCGTCCGGTGGTGGTGGTCGTCGTCGTGGCAGTAGCATGTGGCCAGGGAGGGATGTTGCTGCTGCATGTCACGCGAAAACTAGCTGGATCAGGAGATGGATAGCAGGATAGATGATTGATGTGGACTGGATTGGCTATAAGCGGGAAGCGATGGGCGAAGCCGTCCGACCGGCCGAGAGATGGCGCGCGCCGTAGGAACGCAGGGCAGTTTTCTCGCCCATTCCAGGATTGCGGTCAAACAGGGTGCAGGGTACCCAACTGTATATGGAGTACCTGCAGTCAGATACTACCTAGGCCAAGTTTAGTTCCGCCGATTTGGCGCCGCCAAACATACTGTAGCTACACTGTAGCTACATTGTTGTTTTGTTTTTATTTGATAATAATTGTCCAAGTGTTGACTAATTAGGCTCAAAACGTTCGTCTCGCAAAGTACAACCAAACTGTGCAATTAGTTTTTATTTCGTCAACATTTAATACTCCATGCATGTATCGTAAATTTAATGTGATGGAGAATCTTCTTTTTACATAGTGTCAAATTTAAAAATTTGGTGGAACTAAACAGAGCCCTACTGAGTATGTCCTAAAAGAATACAATTACATGTTACGTGTTACGTCCAAGTTAGAGTACGTGTTACGTCCAAGCTAGAGTGGTTCAAGTTTGACTGAATTTCTAATGAATGATATTTATATTTATGAATCCAAATCAATTTATTATAAAAATATATTTTGTAACTAATCTAATGATACTTATTTGTTATCATAAATATTAATATTTTTTATTTATAATTGGTCAACTTAAGATATAAAACATGACTTATCAGCATGGAACCGTGTTTTCCTTCTACAATAAATTAGTTTCAGTCGGTTTATCAGCCGCAGAAACCATCGGCCGAACAACCCAATTATGCTAGAATTGCATTTTTTTAGGACAAATAGAGTATAATGTGCTAAAACTTGACCAAAACAAAATGATAAAGAGCTTAGTCTGAACAGTATAAGCACGTTCGTCTGGGGCTCGAACATCATGGTATGTAGTAGAAATCCATGCATACAATTCCGGCCCCGTTCGTTTCGCTAAAATTTGGTTTATGCTGGTGATTATGTTGATTTGTTATGAGAGTAAAACATTGTCTGTCCGATGAAAAATAATGTTGAAGTAGTGCCAAACGAACAAGTCACAACGTGTTGGTCGAAATGAGAGGTACACAACACAATAGGCTCTGCTGGAAATGCTGCATTGGACTTGACAACAGTGGGAGTAGCAAATTAAATAACGGTGATTGCTAGCGTTCCATACCATCCATCATATGGATTAAACAAGGGCACAGAATCTGAAAAAAAAATAGGAAAGCTCTGTCGAACATGTCCCCGTATTTGCCACTGTACTTCCTAAGCTACTGAAAACGCGATTCGATCGATCAGCTGACAGAAACATTGCCCCTTGCTACCTTCAGATGACTAATGACGAACACAGTTGAGTACTTGAGTTGCAACGAAATACTCGTTAGTTCCAGAGAATGACATCTTGACGGTGAGGCTCAGCCAATTCCCACAGACACTCTATCCGGTACAGCAAGATTCGTACTCCTACATGGATGGTGCCACTGCCACCTTCCTTGGTGGTGTGGTGTCTGTCGATTTCCTTGGTTCTGAGCATGGAAGGACTTTGCAGCTTGCCAGCACCAAGGAAATGCTAGCATGCTATACTCATTTTCAGCGCCTACCAGGACTCCAGGAGCAGTCCAACATACCGATCGGAGTAGCCAGCATACCGAAGGGCCCATCCGTCTACGCGCTCAAGGCCCATGTGGTCAATTCTAAGCCTAGCCCACAGGTTGACGACACCGGATTGGCTGACAGCCATTTGGAAGATAGGAAAAATTTTGTTGTCTATTTTTCTCTGTGATAAATAAAATCTTTGTGTAATTTTTGCATAATTTCTGTACTCCAAAAAGTCCGTAAACTATTAATCTTCTTGACCAAACAGACAGGAGTCACCCCGACTCTCTTCTCCTCTTCTTCTTTTTTGAGTGGATCTTCTTCTCTTCTATTTTCGTATGTGTTGATTCCATCCAGCTATTTGATCTAGCCCGTTTTGTCTATAAAACCATTTTTTGTTGTCTATTTTTTTCTGTGATAAATAAAATCTTTGTGTATTTTTTGCATAATTCCTGTACTCCAAAAAGTCCGTAACTATTAATCTTCTGTTCTTCTTGACCAAACAGACAGGAGTCACTCTGACTCTCTTCTCCTCTTCTTCTTTTTGAGTGGATCTTCTTCTCTTCTATTTTCGTATATGTGGTGGCGGAACCAGGGACAGGGGCCATACCCCCCCCCCCCCCCCCCCAAGCACGGTACATTTCATATAATACCTATATAAATATTTGAATTTATAGCACAAAAATATCCATTTTCACTAATTTTATATTAAAAATTTATGATTTTGGTTATAAACGGTGTAAAAGTTTTTTGAAAGTTGTTGAAACATATAAGTATGTATATTTTATCACACTAAAAAATGCGATCATATTTGTCCAGCCCCCCTTAATCAAAATCGCTGGTGCCACCTCTACGTATATGTTGATTCGATCCAGCTATTTGTTGTAGCCTGTTTTGTCTATAAAACCAGGCCTGCAACTAAGGCGTGGTCACGAAGGCCCACTGCATATTTAGACATACAGAGCATTTTCAATAGTTTTCTTAAACTTATTCTCTAAAATCTTGTGCGCACTTTAGAGTGCTAACCCAACTCTTCATCTTTAACTAGCAAGAAATTCATAATAGAGGACGACAATATTTCAAGATTTAATTAAAGAATTGTTCAAGGTTATTTTTTCACCAAAATCTATCTTTATCATAGTGAACGATATAAACTAGTTTTTCGGACGCGCCCATGCGCGCGGTCCACTGGCCACACGTATTTTTTGGAGGAAAAAAAGATATAATCAAAGTTGGGTTGTATTTTGATTTGAGAAAAATCTGAGGATGTTTTCGCAAAAAAACGGTGAGAGTGTCCGGGAGCGCGAAGTTGATTTTCGATAAAGTGGAGGTCTTTTTGCAAACAAACCGGTGCCCATCCGGTCTGGATCGAAAGCGTTGATTTGGAAATAATACGAGGCGTTTTTTGTAAAAACTTCTGAGAGGACGTCTCGAGCGCGGGTTGATTTCCAAAAACTTAAAGGGGTTTTTCGTAAAACGACCGCGGCTCGCCCGATCTCTGGTCGTGCTGTGCCGATCGAACGGTCATGAATCTTCTAAGCGACGTGGCCACCTCGAGGTCACACAAAGCTACACCAAATCATATCTTTAGATAGGATTGGAGTTGCTCATAATTTCTTTATTTTTTATTTTCTTTTCTCTATTTTTTTTTTCCTTTTTTTTCTTTTGCTAGTTCCCCTTTGTTACACAGATTTTTATATATCGCCTTGCTTCTTTTTATTTATTTTGTTTTACTTCATTTTCCTTTATTATTTTACGGAGGAAAACCCTGCTTCTATAAAGCAATGTAACAAGTACAGAGACATGCTGGGAAAACCAGCTTACAAAAAAGCGCAAAAACTAAAACAACCAACTTGCAGAATCCCTAAGCAACAAACTACAGAAACAAAAAGGAAACCAACTCCCAAATCACGCCTTCAACTTCCATATCCTCAGCTTACCTCCAGAAAACTTGAAGCAAGCCTTCACCTTGAGTCTATTTTGTCGTCCAGGTACTTGACATCTTCCCCCTTTAGCAGGATACATATCTGTAACAATGAAAAAATTTGTAAAAAACTTCATTAGAGGACCCCAGGAAAGTCTTTTCGATACACATCTTATTTCGAATGTTCCACAAAACCCCAAAGATCACATAGACTATAAAAAGCTTGATTTGATAAAATGGAGCTCCAAATAAAGGAATCCGGTTCTAAAGAAATGTCTTGTAACGTTCTTGGAATTTTGTCCCAACCTAGCGCCTCTTTGAAGCATGACCAAACTGTTTTTGTGAAGATACCCTTTAAGCCCAATGGCCTCCTTCCCTACTTTATCAAGCGTGTCAGTCGAGTTAATGTGATAGTGATCATGTGATAACCTCCTATTTTTTTCACGAACTCCTAGAGTACTGCTACAGAAAATGTGAGCTTGTTCGGGAGGCCGTATCGTATCGTGGATTATTTACTGCTGGCTGGTTTGGTGTGAGAGAAAAACACTGTTCCCGGCTGAAAATTTACGATCGTTTACGAGCAAGCGAACAGGCTGCATCCGCAACCCACACAGACAACAATTTTTGTTCCCCTTCCACTTCTTTTTTTTTCTTCAAGTGCACCCCAGTTTGAAGCTTGTCTTGGGTAGGTAACCACCATTTTCCTTTATTTCCTACTATTTTATTTATGTACATGGCGGATTTATGAGATATTTCGTGGTGTAGTTTTTGTTATCCTATAGTATCGACGTGCCCTGTTGGCTTGAACTGCTTCAGCAATATTTTTCAGCGAATAAATAATATTTTTCTCTCATAACAAATCAGCGTAAACCAAAATCGAATTTTGTTTTCAGCTAACTGAAATTTATCAAAAACAGAAGAACCTCAATTCGATCTACTCGAATGTTAGACTGACTCCAACAGAGCTACCCAAACCCAAAAATGAGTCTCGCACAGTACTTTGCCTATCAAATACCGGCTCCAACGGATGACCCATCCACACGACGCATTTTGGCTACCAGCCCAAAGGAAACGCAAAAAAACGTCCTTCTCTCTCCTCGACCCATATCTCTGTGGCGCGACGGCGTGAAGGAGGCAAGGCGGGAGCAGGAGTCCCGACGACGACGGCGAGGCGGGGAGGGAGCCGGGCGGCGCCGTGGGAGCACCTCCAGAGCTGCCGGCTTGGCTGCCTCGCCGGATCTGGGAGCGCCCTCGCTCCCGTCGCCCACCTCCAGGCTCTTTTCTCTTGATTTCTTCATTTTTAGTGGGTGGATGAAGGGAGGAGGCTAGTCCTCATCTTGTAAAGATGATGCCTTCGTGATTTAGCTGTGCTTGTTATCTAATTTCGTGCTAAATCTTTGATTCCCGTGCGTTTTTCTTTTTCCTATTTTCGGAGCCCTTTTGGGGGGATTTTTTGTTCTTCGTGTTTGAGCCCGAATCTCATGGAATTGGTTGAGGGGAAATGTTGCTAGGACCTTAGGGAGCATCTTTGATATGATCCCCCTCAAATCCCTCACGAATTCGGCTTGAATTTTGAATTTTGTTTTTGGGGACTTTTTCCGTGTTCTTGGCCATGATCTATTTTTCTAGAGATTGAGGTTGGTTTGAGCCATGATCTTCTAGGAGTAGCTCGACAACTTCCTTGTGATGGCCAGTGCAAAGTTTGGGAACGAATCATTGTGATTTGACCGATTGTTGGTTGATTTTGTGTCCGCCGTTCTCTGTTTGTTCTTCGGTCCGTGTGTTGTCTTTTCTGTTCGTTCTTTGCAGCATCGCTGTTCTTCAGTGGAGGCATCGCTGTTCTTCGTGCCGGATCTCGCAGCTCGGTGGCCGGCCGCGGGGAAAACGAAGACGGAGGAGCAAGCAGCACCGGACGGGAGTCTTCACTGTTGGAGAAGGAAGTTATTGGAGGCGTGATCTTTTTTCTGTACGTGGCTCAAACCATGAAAATCTCGTGTCTGCGTTCTTACCGTTGGAGACAGACTTAGACGTCCCATTTTGAGATTATTGGTACTTGGTAGCCCGAGCTGGACGACGCCGACGCAGGTCACACTCCTTTCCGGTTTCCGGTGAGCTGCCAAACACCAACCAGCCCGACCAACGAACGAGTCAATAGTGTCAAATACCACCAGACTGGCGCCAATCTCAAAGCGCATCCGAACCACCTCACGTCCACACCTACCACAACAAGACCCTCCCGACGATTCATCCGTAACCGACACACTCCCACTCATTTCGCCCTCATCCTCCGCCCCGCGCCGCCGCCCCCACAGATCTCGCCGCGGCCACCGCTTCCCCGATGGTCGCGCCGGCGCGCCGCCTTCTTCTGCTCGTCGTCGCCGTCGCGGGAGCCCTGGCGCTCCCCGTGGCGGCCGAGATTAAGAAGGAGTCCTTCAGGGAGGACCCGCGCTCGTCCATCATGTTCGAAAAGTTCGGCTTCTCCAGGTCCGGCGCGGTCCGGATCATCGTCTCTGGCGCCGCCGTCTCCTCCCCCGTCGCGCGGCCGGACAACGGGCAGCTCGGGTTCTTCCTCCTCTCCGACGAGTCCCTCCTCCACGCTATCGACGAGGCGCAGGAGGGGCCCACGCGGGAGAAGCGCGCCGCGGCGACCAACGGCGGCGGCGAGGACCCCGACGGCGGCTCTGTCTCTGCCGAGTGCGTGCTCAACAGCCCCTACGTGAAGAAGCTCTTCACCTTCAAAAACCTGAAGGGCGGCCACTACAACAAGTCCTTCCCTGTCACCCGCCCCGACGAGTACACCCTCTTCTTCGCCAACTGCGCCCCGGAGGCGCTCGTCTCCATGACCGTCCGCACCGAGATGTACAACGTCAACGCCGACGGCTCCAAGGACTACCTCCCCGTCGGCCAGGCGCCCCTGCCCGCTATCTACGGATTCTTCGCCTTCTGCTACGCTGCGTTCCTGGCCGCCTGGGGATACCTCACCCTCTCCCGCGACCGCGTGTCCGCGCACCAGATCCACCACCTCATGTCGGGCCTCCTCGTCGCGCGCCTGCTCTACTGCCTCTCCGCTGCCGAGGACCAGCACTACATCCGCGTCACCGGGACGCCGCACGGCTGGGATGTGGCCTTCTACCTCTTCCAGCTCGTGAAAGGTGTCATCCTTTTCGCGGTGATCGCGCTGGTCGGCACGGGGTGGTCCTTCTTGAAGCCGGTCCTGCAGGACCGGGAGAAGAAGGTGCTCATGGCCGTGATCCCGCTCCAGGTCACCGCGAATATCGCCGCCGCGGTCATTGGGGAGACCGGGCCCTTCATGCAGGGCTGGGTGACATGGAATCAGATCTTGCTCTTCGTGGATGTCACGTGCTGCTGCGCGGTGCTCTTCCCGGTTGTGTGGTCCATCCGGTCGCTCAGGGAGACGTCCAAGACCGACGGCAAGGCGGCACGGAACCTCTCCAAGCTCACCCTGTTCCGGCAGTTCTACGTCGTGGTGATTGGGTACCTGTACTTCACTAGGATCGTCGTGTATGCGCTCAAGACAGTTGCCAGCTACAAGTACCGGTGGGTGAGCATCTTGGCAGAAGAGATGGCCACCCTGGCGTTCTACCTGTTCATGTTCTACACATTCAGGCCGGCCGAGAAGAGCCACTACTTCTCTCTCGATGAAGATGAAGAAGAGGCCGCGGAGATGGTGCTCCGAGAAGAGGAATTCGAGCTATGAAGAGATGCAGCGATTCACAAGAGTTTCCATGCCACGTTCGTTTGATCTTCACTCCCTGTGATCTTGATCATACTTCAAATGCCCGGACATAGCTCATAGTGTTTGTTGTATGTACCGATCGGATGTGAGATCGTTTTGTTCTTCTTGTAGATTTCAGATTTTAGTATTTTACTGATGAAACACAGATTACTTAACTTATACCACCATGTTCAAGAAAATTTCTTGCTTGCAATGCAATCAGCAGCAACTACTCCTGTTACGGCACATTTTGTGGTGAGCACATTTAGTTTGAAGTGCGCTACATATTTTGTGGTGAGCCGTCTTCGTCACTTTGGCACATTTGACTTTCTACTAGAAATCGACGTGATGTTCTAGTAGTCAGATGATTTTCTACTAATCGCATGTGTAACAGTGTAAGTCGCATCGTTCCTTTTCCTGCCTACCTTGTCCTATATCTTTTGAATTCCTGCAATGCTTTGCTGCATACCTTTAGATGCGTGGAGTCTTGGTCAGATACTAGCATTGTCTCGTGGTAAACTATGGTCACACATATACTCCGTACACACACTGGCATAATTGAGGCAGGAAAACTAGCTGACTAGCTAAGCATGTGGAATGGCTGGGACACATTGCTTTGCATTGGTAGTGCGTCACTGTCCAGCTTTTCTTTTGGCATTGCTGGTTGCGGATTGACAACACAGGTTGGATGATTCAGTTTCAAGCCACTACTGCTACAACCAAGAAACAACAAGAAAACTCTCGAAAAAATGAAGAGTAGAATCAAGGCAGGATCTCGTCGATGAGCGGGCCTAATTAAAAGCAACGAATGCAAAGGAGAAAGTACTGAGGCTCCTCGCTCTTGTTCGTGCGAGACGTGCTCCCCATGTCGAAGTTGCTACCATATTCTGTTATAAAATATGTCAGAATAAAATCTTTGCTGGCAGAGGCGTGCAACAACCTTGTCTAAAGACCCAGGGTCAAATCGCAGCTATGCAGTGGCCTAAAGTACAAGCACAATATACTTATATCAGGCATATGCGAGTATGCGACTATGTAGTGCAGCTACATATGACATATCACATATAGAATAAGTAAAAATATTGGAAAAACATTCTCTCATTATTCTTAAGATACGCCAGGACGTCGAAATACATAGTTCCAAGGAAATCACAAAACAAGTTCAGTTTCAAGCTACGATGGAACACCTATTAGTCCCTCCACCGATTATCACAATCTGGACTGCAGCACACAAAGAACAGGGTCATCCCCTCCTCCCCTCTTGCCGTGGCCTGCAAATGGTAAAAACAGCACTGGGCTAAAGATTGTCTCAAAATATTTAAGCAGGATCAGTGCCATCAATTGCAACTATTGAAATATAAATATCGCTTAACTGCAGATGCGGTAATTTTGAAGAATACAGAAAGAGACATGCAAAGTGATATGCTCTACGCCTCTAATGACATTTAGTAGTATTACTGCACAAAAGAGGACCCTTATTCTGGCACAAAACAATAATATAAGGCTACATTTCTTGGGAACTGACTCCTGACTTGTCAATTAGGACATGTTCATGTCAGGGATATAGAGGCAGGCATCAACATATAGTGATATAGGATAGATACTGCCAAAAAAAAGAAAAAAAAAGGGGATGCAATATCCAACGTTAACATTAACAAGGCGCAGAATTTTGGTATACTATTTTGTTTAACAAGTCATTCAGATTGCATAACAATATCACATGAAAATACAACCCATGAAAATGCGACAAGGCAAAACAAGAAAAAAAAAACTGGAAGAAAACAGCCTCTCCATGCCCACAGACAGTGCAGCGGACAGTCTTGGTTCTGGGAAGAGTTGGGTCCGAAGCTACATCCTGCAAGACCTGCGTTCGCTCCCCAGCAGTGTGGTGCACCTCGTTCTGATAGACACAGTTATTGTCAGAGACCTCCTGAATCGGACCAGGAATAGTACTGTTAACTTGTAAGCAGAAGAAAGGATGTTTGAGGGATGGCAAATTATTCAATTCACCGTTCATACAGGCACAACTAACACTGTAGGGCAAGTGTAGTATTTTTCGGTGTGGACAGGATAATCGTTTTCCTGTTACAGTTATGTTTAACTTTTGCTATGCATACATGAAATAAATGAGGGAATTAAGTAGCCAAAGATGGAAATGAAGGGCACACATAGCATTGGCATGGCCCTACCAAAATCTTAGAATTTGGGAAAAAAAGGGAACAACCCCATCCAGTAAGCATTTTAGTGCTCATTCGAACCCCATCATCCAAGTGCTGTGCCCAAACACCATTCTTGTAGTAATGTACTGGTGATGTGCTGATGAGGGGTATAGTAAGAAGATTGGATTGGATTTGTTGGTGGAACAAGGATAGAGGTTGACGAGTTGTACCTGGTGCTCAGGGTGCGCCTGTCTCTGTCCTCCTTGGGGTACAGGATGTTGTTGCTGCACGTCCATCCATCATCAAGTAACTGTATGATAAATCTAATGCAAGAGAGAGGAAGATGATCGATGTAGAAGGGTGCATACCACTCCGGCAAAACTTCATGGTGCTCATGGTTGCAGCAGCAGTGTCTTCTTCAAGCCCTGAATAGAAACCAGAGAGATTTCATCAGATTGTCCAATGGTAGAAATGGAACACAGATAAATTTATCATGTATCTCCGTAGTGAATTACCATCTGACTATTCTTCATATAGTGAATTACAAATCGCATTGCAATTTCAAAGTGCAACTGAGAGATGTGAGGATACAACAACAACATAGCCTTTCAGTCCCAAGCAAGTTGGGGTAGGCTAGAGTTGAAACCCACTAAGAGCCCCAAGTCACGGTTCAGGCACTTTAATAGCTGCTTTCCAAGTACTCCTATTAAAGTATAGATTTTTAGGTATATCCCAAGCTTTCAAATATCTTTCTATTGCCTCTTCCCATGTCAATTTCGGTCTTCCTCTACCTCTCATCATATTATTAGTTTGGCTTAGGACTCTACAATGCACTGGTGCCTCTGGAGGTCTCTTTTGGACATAGCCAAACCACCTCAACCGATGTTGAACAAGTTTTTCTTCAATTGGTGCTACCTCTAGGCGATCACGTATATCATTGTTCCGAATTCGGTCCATTCTTGTGACCGCAAATTCATTGCAACATACGCATTTCTGCAACACTCAGTTGTTGAACATGTCGAATCTTTGTAGGCCAATATTCTGCTCCATACAACATAGCCGGTCTAATCGTCGTTCTATAGAACTTGCCTTTTAGCTTTTGTGGTATCCTCTTGTCACATAGAATGCCAGAAGCTTGTCGCCACTTGATTCACCATGCTTTGATTCTATGGCTAACGTTCACATCAATATCTCCATCCCTCTGTAGCATCGATCCCAGATACCGAAAGGTATCCTTCTTAGGCACTACTTGACCTTACAAACTCACATCTCCCTCCTCCTGTACAACTCCGCTAAAGTCGCATCTCATGTATTCGGTTTTAGTTCTGTTCAATCTAAAACATTTAGACTCAAGGGTCTGCCGCCATAACTCTAGTTTCATATTTACTCCCGCCTGGCTTTCGTCAACTAACACTACATCATTAGCGAACAACATACACCAAGGGATATCTCCTTGTATGTTCCTGGTAACCTCATCAATTGCCAAGGCAAAGAGATACGGGTTTAAGGCTGACCCTTGATGAAGTCCAATTTTAATCGGGAAGTAATATGTGTTACCATCGTTTGTTCGAACACTAGTCATAACATTGTTGTACATGTCCTTGATGAGGGTCACGTACTTTGATGGGACTTTATGTTTGTCCAAAAACCACCACATAACATTTCTTGGTATCTTGTCATAAGCCTTCTCCAAGTCAATGAAAACCAACTGGGAGATGTGAGGATAAGTAAGAAAAATATAAGCTCTACCCACAGCCGAGAAACAAAATGGTAAATTTGTGAACTTTCCTTAACTGTGTTATCTGATAGATACAGAGAAATTTATTAACTTGATGGCACCAGCAGGGGCAAAGTTTTGTCCTACGACCTGCTAAAGTTCTGATTTGTACTTTTATGCTCAACATCCAATGTGTCGACAGGTTGCTGGTTACCTAGCACCCATCAGTACCAAGCAGATAATGCTAGCATTAAGCAATGTTGCATATCTACTGTTTTTTATAGGGAAAAAAGGATTGACCTGACCCCCTTGCACCTTGCATCAACATTACAATCAGCTAGAGAGAAAAAAAACCTAAGGCTTCGTTTGGCATGTGGAGGTTACGTTCTAGAGGAGAAATGACCCAAGGGAGGATTGTGTTGATCCCTCCCTCCCACCGAATCCCCTTCCACCGTGAGGGTTTAAACCACTGTTGAAGTTAATTGTTTGGGATGACTTGGATTGACATGGAATAGTTCCATGGCAAGAAACACCGCAGTGTTGCTGTTGCTGTTGCTGTTTTATTACTGTATTTATTTTCTTCTCAACGAACGAATAGCTTAGAGCTACGTCAATAATTCAAATAGTTTATACGACAAAATGCACATACATATGCTGCCTGGATCAAACTACGCATAGGTCATATGTCGGAGTTTATTTTGAATGGCGTAAGTGCATACACATTATGTTCATACGATTACAACTTACCAAAAGATTTAATTAGAAAAATACAATGCTCAACACTTACGATATGAAAGTAACTACTTGTTTTCTACTGGAATTGCAATCTGATCTCACCGAACCTGGATAAAAAATAAAGAAAAGATTTCCTTCACACATATTATCTGAAGGGAATTTAGAAACACAAATAAGCTAAAAATAATACAGCGCGGGGATAGCTAAGTCTATCTAATAGGCCAATTTAAACTACTCTTCTAAGAGCTAGCAACTCTGATTGAATTAAATAGAATACAGATTGCATTAGCAGAGACTGATAGGTTCATTGAAAAAAGATTGTGCCCAGCTTAGTTGAGGAATACAAAGATTGTGGCACAAGAAGCATGAGT